ATAATAATATAATTTTAATGAAAAAAAAAATTAACAAATTACTATATAAATAATGTTTCAAGTTATTTAACTTAAATTTTGTTCAATAAATCTACTTTTTTACATATCCTTATAACAAAAAGTACATAATAATTTACATGCACCATAAATGCGTAAAGGTGGTTAATTTCCCCCATTCTCTGAAAGATGCTGACTGGGTGGAGAAGGTCCATGGTGGTAGAAGGATGTCGTCAATGTCAAAAACTGGTCACCATCAAATCTAAAATAATATGAGAACAACTTGAATATTGCTGAAAACTTTTGATAAACAATAAAAAACACTTACCATCTAAAATTTAGCTGTTCCCTTAGTGCAAGATCCAGTAATGTTTACATGGGACCTGAAGCAAAGAAACAACTATTACTTGTTTACATCATTATACAAGCAAATTTTTTGTCAATTATTAGTGTCATTCACTATACTTTTTTAATTAATGTTGATGCTAATATTTGTAGATTCGAATTACAATTGAAATTTTATTTGAAAAAACATACAATTAAACAAACATATTCTATTTGTGTAATAGTATTAACAGTTTTTGTACTTACATTGTGAAGGTTCGCGGTGTTCTTTTGCCATGATTCAGTAATGTTTATATGGAATCTGAAACACAGAAACAACTATTACTTAATTTACATCATTGTACAGTTAAATTTTTTCTAAATTGTTTCTCAATTGTTACTGACTTTCACTATAGTTTTTTAATTACTGTTGATGCTAACATTTGTAGATTCGAATTACAATTGAAATTTTATTTGAAAAAACATACATTTATTCTTTTAAACTTTAAACAAAGATATTCTTTTTGTGTAATCGTATTCTTAGTTTTTATACTTACACTAAAAAGTTTCGCGGTGTCCTTTTGCCAAGACTCAGTAATGTTTATATGGGATCTGAAACAAAGAAACAACTATTACTTATTTACATCATTGTACAGATAAGTTTTTCTAAATTGTTTCTCAATTATTAGTGTTGTCCATTACTCTTTTAATTAATGTTCATGCTAATATTTGTAGATTCAAATTACAATTGAAATTTTATTTGAAAAAACATACATTTTAACAAAGATATTCTTTTTGTGTAATCGTATTCTTAGTTTTTGTACTTACACTGAGAAGTTTCGCGATGTCCTTTTGCCAAGATTCAGTAATGTTTATGTGGAATCTGAAACAATGAAAGAAGTTTTACTTAGTTAGGTACATTACAGTACAGACTTAATTATTTGTATTGTTTTTTAATTAGTTTTTTAATTGATGTTGATGCTAACATTTGTAGATTCGAATTACAATTGAAATTTTATTTGAAAAAACATACATTTATTCTTTTAAACTTTAAACAAAGATATTCTTTTTGTGTAATCGTATTCTTAGTTTTTATACTTACACTAAAAAGTTTCGCGGTGTCCTTTTGCCAAGACTCAGTAATGTTTATATGGGATCTGAAACAAAGAAACAACTATTACTTATTTACATCATTGTACAGATAAGTTTTTCTAAATTGTTTCTCAATTATTAGTGTTGTCCATTACTCTTTTAATTAATGTTCATGCTAATATTTGTAGATTCAAATTACAATTGAAATTTTATTTGAAAAAACATACATTTTAACAAAGATATTCTTTTTGTGTAATCGTATTAACAGTTTTTGTACTTACATTGTGAAGGTTCGCGGTGTTCTTTTGCCATGATTCAGTAATGTTTATATGGAATCTGAAACACAGAAACAACTATTACTTAATTTACATCATTGTACAGTTAAATTTTTTCTAAATTGTTTCTCAATTGTTACTGACTTTCACTATAGTTTTTTAATTACTGTTGATGCTAACATTTGTAGATTCGAATTACAATTGAAATTTTATTTGAAAAAACATACATTTATTCTTTTAAAGATATTCTTTTTGTGTAATCGTATTCTTAGTTTTTGTACTTACACTGAGAAGTTTCGCGATGTCCTTTTGCCAAGATTCAGTAATGTTTATGTGGAATCTGAAACAATGAAAGAAGTTTTACTTAGTTAGGTACATTACAGTACAGACTTAATTATTTGTATTGTTTTTTAATTAGTTTTTTAATTGATGTTGATACTAATATTTGTAAATTCGAATTAAGATTGAAATTTTACTTGAAAAAAATATACATTTATGCAAGGATATTCTTCTTGTGTAACATTATTCGCACTTTTTGTGTCTGCATTAAGAATGTTTCCGGTATTTTTTTGCCAGTTTGCAGTAAGTAAATAATTCAGAACTTTTAAAATGAGCAGACATGTATTGTCTTTCTTTTTAAAAAATAATGCGACTTTTGCTATTCACGACAGGCTTTCAGTTTCAGTGCTGATTTACTTTATACCATCGAAATGGATTCTCAGAGGTAATTTATTATTCATTATGACCACATTTTACCACAAGAAATACATAGTTTTTTTTTATTTAGTGAAGTATTTCAGTTCACATTAATTATTCAATATTACGAACTAAAACAGAAATTGTTGAAAATCAATAAAGTAACTCCTGAAAGATTCAACAATGTTTTGCCACCTCTTCAAATATGTTAACAAAATTAATTGTCAATATTTCAATAATTTACAATCAGAAGTACAAAAAAGGATTTGGGATGTTCGAGTTTTAGGGAAATGCGAAGATTAGCTCAGGATAGAAAAGAATGGAGGTGCGTGTTCAACCAGTCTTAGGACTGACGACCTTATGATGATGAAATCCAACACCGCATATAAATACAGTGTAAATTCTTTATAACGTCACTCGATTTAACGACAAACTCCTTAAACCGTCGAAATTGCTTGACTTTGGTTGGTTTACGTTGTTTTCTATACAATATTACACTCTATATAGCATCACGCTCACTCTATTTAACGACAACAATGCGGCATTATAAATCACTAAGCAGTACTTTCTAAGTTGCCGAAATAGATAAGAACTGCAGCTGTGTACGTTGTTGAAGAAGACGATCCTGTCCCTCCACCAAGCATCAAACAAGCACTTGATGCAGCGAAACTACTAAAAAAATACTTTTTATATAATCAAATTGATCCAGCAGTATCTCAAGATATGAGTAAGATACGTAACAAAATACAATTAAAATATTGGAGCAGCAAAAAACATCAGACGAAGATAACAGGCTATACGCAATGTATGAATAATAATGTTCGTTTACAAAATGTGCACTATATTGGTAAATGCATATTATTATAGAATAATAAAATAATATCTTTTATTTCTCTCCATTTAACGACCGCTCTTTATAACGCCGAAAAATGTTCAGTCCCTTGAGTGTCGTTATATAGAGTTTACACTGTATATCAAAAGTTTCATTACGCCTTTGCAAATCTATACGAGTGACTTCTCAACTTCTCTTAAATGCAAAAAATACATAGGTAACTGATGTTCTGTATAGATGAATATGCCTTGATTTATTAACTGTACAAATGGGATATTCAACACATACAATAAATAATTCCATAATTCGTTTGAATAAGCGGAAGTGCTGCAAGTATAATGTTCGTGAGTTAAGTCGTAAAGCTGGGCAATTTCCTTATGAAGGCATAAATTTTAAATGCACACTTTAATAAGTCAACGAGTGAGGTGGATAGGGAGTGAATCAGCCGTTCGTATTCAACCAGGACCCCGAATGAAATTTTATATATTCATAAAAGAAAACGCAATAAATACGAATTAGCATTTATTCCCCTTTTCCTTACGTAAGGATAAGTCCTTTATTCATATTTGCTCGTCGCTACCTGGTGCCATGGGATTAAAGCCTTCAACGTGCCTTATTCATAGTCAGTTACATGTCCTTTCAGGCATATCAATATAAAGAGATTGAGTATTGGAAGTAAAAATAAAACATAGTCTAAAAAACAGTAATCCAACTAGAGATAAATAAAATAAACTGAAAAGTAAGAAACAAGTTTGCACAATTGTAAAAAATATGTTGTAAAAAGTATTCAAATACAAATACTTTTATTTAATAGAGTACATGAATACAAATATAATAACAAGTATGCAATAAGTTAGGTGCTGATTGCTATCATCTTTTTATTAAGATAAGTCTTTTGATATGTTAAGCACTCCTGATGTTCTTTTAGTTTTATTGAAGTCTTCCGGGAGAGTTTCACATTAATAACGTTATAATGCATTTCATGCTATAGTTGTGCGTGTTCTTTATCTTTGATTGGCAGCATCTCATTGGTTTATTTTATAGCGTTATTAATGTGAAACTTTAATAGGATTAAATAAACAGGAATGTCTAATACTTAGAGACTTATTATGGCAATCAGCACCTATCTTACTTATTACTTTTTAGTTTATTTTGTTTATCCCTGGTAGGGTTGCAGTTTTTTAAAATTTATTTTATTTTAAAATTGTTGATGTAACGTTCGTCATACTGATTTTTTATGTAAAATATGTAGCTTGTGTTATCCGCACCATAACAACGAATTGATTGACTGAGGTGGAACATACGTAAATACAAAAATTTATTATTAATTTAGTTCAGTACCTATAGTTATTAAGTTACCCCTAGATACCTACATTTTCTACTCCATAATTGTCACTATGAATAATAAATTACTCCTTAAAAACCATTATGATAGTAATGTAAAGTACATTATGGGTGCTGAAACTAAAACCCTGCGACGAAGACCAATAGATCGCATTATTTTTTAAAACGAAACATGATACCACCTGTCTGTTCATTTTAAAAGTTCTGAATTGCTTACTTTTATTGGAAACTGACAAAAAACGTGAAAAGTTCTTTTTCTATCCATACTACCATCGAGTTACAGTATCATAAAAAAAAATTGTATATAAGGCAATCAAAATTTAATAACGTTGTACCTATTACCAATCTAAATTATTACTGAAATAACATCTAAAGAAACTCTTACACAATATTACATAGCGTTTATAATTTTTTTATTTTTTTTCTCAAGTTGATATCGTAAACAACAGAAGTAAAGTACACAAAGACAATTTTTACGGCTTAAAATTAAAAAATCCGTAATATTTATTACTCAAAACTACTACAAGAGCTACTCAAAAACGTCAATCTGAAGTACAACAAATTAAACAACACTCTAAATAACTCAAACACCAAAACACGACACTTCTAGCGCTTGGTCACATGTTTCGCCATTGGAGTTTGAGCTATTTAAAGTGTTCAACAAATTAATATTTAAAAAATCTTGAGTGATTTGTATAAATTGATGTATCAAATTGAAATATTAAACCATTTACTATTTCAGGCAGAGAAACAAGACAAAATATCAATTTTAAACTATTTCGGAAAGACTTGAGTTAAAATATTTTAAACGAAAGAATTTTTGGTGAGTCATATTAAGATGCCGGATAAAAAGAAATTGTTTTTCCATGCGCCTTTCTAATATAAATATGTCTTTCGGCTTGAGCCGCGACCGTTAATTTGCACTTAACGTTTCGCTTTGTATACTGTCAGCTTCTTCAGAAGAATTCTATAGACTTCATATCATCTGTACAATAGCTGGTTTTCCCTTGCCTACTAAAGGGAAACGAAAGGATAAACATTTTCGAGTTTTCGAGTCCCTAGACAAAGGCGCTTGTCTAGTAGGATATTGCGACCGAAATATTAATTCCCGCTAATTAATAATGAGTTAAAATTGTGGAAGTGATGAGTTCAATGAACTTTTTGAATGAATTTTCCGGCTTCCTATACAATAAAAGCTGGTAATGAACATCCCTTACAAATGCTACGAGAAAGAAAAATGGGTTTCCGTTGCCGGCATTAACTTACTCTATTATTCATTGTTTTATAAAGCCCAGAAGAATCTGACTTTTAATTCGCCATTCAAAATATTCAGTTAAAAGTGCGGCGGCGGGAGATTTATTGACTTTCTCCCGCGCCTTGTGCACCGCGATTTTATCTCATTACCGTTCCCATTGAAATGGTAAAATCCTCCGGAATAAACCGTTCTATTAGTACAAATTTCAGAAAGTATAACAAACGTATATGACTACACAATAAAGAATATTCATTAGAGAATTGTACCAAACAATAAGTGAATTTTTTTGCTTCTTAACTTTCCATCATAAAATGACTGAACAAAATGATAAAATCTACCGACGATATTGCAGAATAAATTCAAATTATACCCTGACAAAGAACTAATTTATCGTCAAACAAGGAGCAAATACAAAGATTT